ATAAGTGATGAATTATAATTAAGAAAAAAAATTAAATTTCTTACAATTTTAAATATAAAATAGAATATTTTTCAATTTTTAAATATAATAAAAATAAAATAAAAATTATATAAAATAAAATTGCATAATATGATAATCCGTGGATCACGATTAAAAGTAATATTATAATATTCTCGGCAAGAATATCAATGAAATTGATTTGACTATTTATGGCAGTCTGTTATAAAATATTACATAAATAAATGTTTAAAATAAATATGCAATAAATGCTTAATAATAAAAAAAATTATAAACATGATAACACACATAACAAGTCATAATTTGATAATAATTTTATATACGCTTATTAAATAGAATAATGCAATTGAATATAGAACATTTGACTTTTAATTCACGATTTCCAATCATTTTCCGTATTTTTCAATATTTCAATTTTTCAATGTAATTTTAATTAATTATTGATTTCATAAGATATAAATCATTTTGTTTTATTTTCACATCAAATTTTTTTATTGGTATTTTATATAAAAGAGATACTAAAAATAAATCATCAAGATAAAAATCAATTTAAAAAATCTTATGAATATATATTAAGAAGAAACGATTATTCGTTATAAATTATATAAATATTTATCCTTCTATAAATAATTGTAATCGTTATTTGCCTTTTTTTTATATCTTCTGTATGTATTACAAACATTATGGAGCAACAATATTACATAATTAATAAAAATCATTTGTAAATTAATTCCAAAAAAAATTCCAGAAACATCAAGTTAATATAATAATAATTCGAATTAGTAAATTATAAACCGTGTTAGTTGCTTAATTTGCTTCGCAGGAAAGTTTCAACTAATATCTTTACATCAATCAGCAATTCCTAATGTAATCGCTTTCTCCAATAATCGATTCCCAAAATCTACGTGGCATTCCACGTAGATAATCTCTAAATATCTTCGTTCAAGTTCAACAAAAATACCAAATCTCTGTCTGCATTTAAATAATAATGAAATATTCATATCTCTCGATTAATTATATTTTTTATTGAATCTTTTTGAAAAATATACAATCAGCATAATCTATATTAAACAGAAAAAGAAACAAAAAATTAAATGTTATTTAGTCGATTCGGAGAAAAAAATTATATTTATTATCGCTCGTCGTTATAAATTCTGGGCTAAAAGATGTAATTTGTATAATACAATACAATACTCGATTATGAAGCGTCAATTGAAAATCGTCGAATTCTATTTACGAAATTGCATTCGATGATTCCGAAAAGTAGCACAAGGCTATACGAACAAGGGAAAACCCCTTGCTAGCTGGTGCACGATCATCAAAGTATCGACGAATCAACGGTTGAACACTCTTCCTGGGATTTACGTAACACAGCAGCCGGACTGACCGCTTTCACGTCTATACCATACCTTCGGCCGCATTTAGCGACCTGGTTCAATAAGTCCCATGCCAGTTTCTCAAGTCTGGGTCCGGCCTTCTTTCCCAGCACGCCTGTTTCAGGGTTAAATTCATCGATTTCCTTACCCGATATCAATATATCGCGGCATATATCGTCAGCTTTTTACTCTGATCCTTGCTTCGATGCCGAAAAGGATCGAATTTCACCGGTGGTTTTAGGATTAATTTCAATCGTTTCGCAGGATTATATTTTTAATATTTCGGATCCAGAGATTGAATGAAAAATTAGGTTACGATTATTTGTTTCTTCTATAGGAAGGAAGAAAGAACGATCGAAAAGTCAAGAATTTTTCCCGTCCAGTTCTCTGTCGCGCGTCCCCTCTATTCTAAATAGAATTTCTTTTTTCTCTTTATAAAAGAGAAATTTAGGTGAGGTCACTTCCTGAACACTTTTCTAAAGTACCGACAATTCTAGGAATCGGAGGTGACAAACTTATGGCGAAAAGTTGAAAATATTTCAATTCTCGAATGACAAGAAGAATAAAAAATATCTTCTCCCGGTCATGATTTTTAATGCAACAATTTACAATAAAGCCATACAAAGTAAAAGAACGAGCGAGTTAATAAAATAAATCTTGTGTAAGTGCAAATTAAATCACAATATAGAATTACATCTCTACGACATTTGTTTACAATGTAAACAAATTCACAATATCATTATCTCGTGTATCTACTCCTAGAGCTATTTACAGTTCTATTTGCGTGTACGAAACGTATGTATGCGCGCATGTAATGTATGTATGTGTATGTGTATGTGTCGTTCTTTTTTTCGCGGAGATTCGTGCAACGGACATTTTGCGAAACGAAAACGAACGCACGTGGTTAATTATTTATAAGCGGTCATATATTTTATTGTCGTCTCATTCGTGTTTCCTATTTCCTAGGAAATAATCGTAAAACAAAAGACATATCGAGCACGACCTCGTTACGATCGGTTCAAGCGTTTGACAATCGGTCAGTGCGCATGCACCGAGCCGAGACTTTCGCTTTTACCAGAAGAAGCCCAAGCGAAGGTGGCTGACACTAACTAAGAAGCGAGAGACCTTGCGCAGACCTTCCCCTCCCCAACTTCAATTAACCTGCCATCAATAAGAACGAGATTTGTCTACGTTAGTCGGGCTATGCATTAAATACGATCCACTTTGTCATGGTACGGTGACATTAACAATAAGCCACGATTATCCTCATGCTTTTCACGTAATATATCAATGCGT